TTTTTTGGTTTTTTTCAAGACAGGGTTTCTCTGTGTAGCTTTGCACCTTTCCTAGATCTCACTCTGTAGACCAGGCTCACCTCGAACTCACAAAGACCCGCCTGCCTCTGCCTCCTGAGTGCTGGGATTAAAGGCATGCGCCACCACCGCCCGGCTACACTCTTGGTTTTTGATCCCACACAATTTCTAGCCCCAAATCAAAGCTGAAAGTAAATTTAAATCAACAGAAGAGAACTTGTGCTATCTCCTAAATGCAAAGCTTTCTCTCTTTAGTTCAGTTTTTGTTTGTCTTTTTGAAAGGTTTTAATATTTTGTGTGTGTCTGGTGTCCATGGAGGTCAGAATGTGTTGGATCTTCTGGAACTGGAGTTACAGACTGTAGCACGAATCTTAAAGGTTCTCATTAATAAAAACAAACCTGGAGCCAGGTACTGGGGTAAACACTGGAAGATCAAAGAGCAGAACAAGCCACAGCTACCTCACCTCACCAATTCCTCAGCTGATCCTGTTTCCTCAGACTGGAAGCCTCTGAGTTCTCATCCAAATGGATCTCAGCTGAACTGCTGCTAAAAGCCTAAAAGCTCAACCAGCTCTAGTTCCTCGTCCTCACGCCTTATATACCTTTCTGCTTCTTGCCATCACTTCCTGGATTAAAGGCGTGTGTCACCATGCCTGGATGTTTCCAGTGTGGCTTTGAACTCAGAGATCCGGACGGATCTCTGCCTCTGGAAGGCTAGGAGTAAAGTCATGTATGCCACCATTTTCTGGCCTCTATATCTAGTGGCTGTTCTGTTCTGACCTCAGACAAGTTTATTAGGGTGCACAATATATTGGGGAACACATTATCACCACAACAGACAGTTGTGTGCCGTCTTGTGGTGCTGGGAACCAAACCCAGATCCTGTACAGAACAGCAAGTATTCTTAATCACATAGTCATCTCTCCAAACCCCCCACCCCCCTTTTCGTTTGCTTGTTTTGAGACAAGGTCTTTATTATGTAGCCTTGCTGGCCTCAAACTTGTGGTCCTCCTGCTGTAGTCTCTTGGCTTTGGAATATAAACATCTTTTTACATTAAAACAATTAAATTTATTTATTTATTTTGTGTGTGGGTTTTTTTTATTTATTTAATTTATGTATTTTTTTTTAGGTGTGAGTGCTCTGTCTGCATGTATGCCTATATGCCACCAGAGGGCATCACATCCCATTATAGATGTTTGTGAGCCACAACGTGGTTGCTGGTAATCGAACTCAGGACCTCTGGAAGAGCAGCCAGTGAGTGCTCTTAACCTCTGAGCCATCTCTCCAGCTCAACTTGTTCATAAATGTGTGCATATAGGCCAGAGGACAACTTGCAGGAGTCAGTTCTCACCTTCTAGCATGTTGGCCCAGGATTCAAATTCAGGTCATCAGACTGGGCAGCACGTGTCTCTACCTGCCGAACCATCTGACTAACCCAGATAGATAAACTCCATCAGTGTACGGCTAGAAGTGTGGGTATTCTGAAGAGACTGGCATGCTATCAGGGGAGGACGCTATTGTGTGGGGAACATGCCACATTCATTTAAGGCAGTTCATTTAAGGCCCGTTCACAGTACCTGGACACAGCAGTCAGTCTCTCTGGGCCTTGCTCTTCATATGTAAACGAAATAACTGTCCCCACAAGATGGCTGCGGGAGCAACTAGGACATAGCGACACCAGAGGCACGCGACAGACAGAAAACTAGCCCTGCAGCTCAGGCCCCGAGGGGCTGGTGGGACTGGGAGTGAGTGCCCCGAGGGCGCGGCCAGCTGCTTACCCGGTGCTCCGCCAGGAACTCGGGCGTCAGCGTCCAGGGGGCGTTCCTCACCACCTCGTCCACGTAGCGACAGTGCTGCACCGCGTCATAGCGCTCGTTCTCGTTCATCACCGTGAAGCCCTTGAAGTTGTGGGTCAGCTCATCGCTGCAGACTGGGGTCACAACCACAGCTGTGAGGCAAGGCCCTCTGCGGGCCTCCCCGCCACCAACCTTCCCAGGCCTGGAACAATGCCCGCCCCGCCCCACCCACTCAGGAGAAGCTTCTGGATCAGCCTGGGCAACAATGTTTTCTAACCTAAGACCTCAGAGCAACATTCCCTACCCTAAGGCCCACGCTTTCGAAAAGAGGGTAAAATATGGAACTCAGATTTTGACTTTGAAATGAACCTGCTTTGTGTTTCCACACCAGTGAAGTTTTCAAAATGTTTTATTGGGGCTGGAGAGATGGCTCAGCAGCTAAGAGCACTGGCTACCCTTATAAAATAACCAAGCTTGATTCCCAGCACCCACACGGTGGCTCACAACTGTAACGCCCGTCCCAGGGGATCTAATGCCCTCTTCTGAATTCCTCGGGCACAGGCACACGTGTGGTACAGAAACACACATGAAGACCAACCAACAGAAAACAACCTACTCATACACATAAAATACATTTTAAAAATGCTTTCTGATTTTATTTTTCTAAGGTTGGACTTGACCATCCCATTGGCTGGGCAGACTTTCCCGCTTCTGTCGATTCAAAGCTGATGAGGTGAAGTCCGGAGCAAATGTTTTTAAGCAGACAACTGTATGAGTGCCGCCACACTGTAGAACCTCCGCTATAAACTGTGAGATAAGCCAGGCCCTCTCAGGGAGCCTGCTGCTGCTCTCTCCGGCTGAGCTGTCCCACAGACTGTATGTGGGACGGCTGGGACCTCATGCTTCCTTTCATCAAGACTGCACTAAGTCTCACAGACGAGGGGAGGCTGCCTTTTCTGAACAACACCTAAACTCATCTGATGTTTTCTTACCTCCCACAATGAGATATGTATTAGGGAAAAGGTTCTTGGCTTGCATCAGAGCCCGGGCGTGACCAGAGTGAAATAAGTCAAATATTCCATCCGCATAAACTCTCACAGGCCGCTCACCTGAATCCAAAGAAAAGAACTCATCACAACGATGCATTTACTCAATCCCTCACACCTGACAAATGAGACAGTGGTACTGTGTGACTCTCGGTCACTTCTTTCTGGGTGGTGTTCTCTGGGGCCAGGCCTGGTGACACAGACCTGCAGCCCTAGCCACTCTGGAAGCTGCAGCAGGAAGATTACCAAATTCAAGGCCAGCTTGGACTCCAGAGTGACTTCAAGGCCAGGCGGGACAAAGTAGTGAGACCCTGTCTCACAATGAAGAGGCTTAGGTACATAATCCAATAGTAGAGGTCTTGCATAAGGCCCTAAGGTCAGCCCCCACTACCATAAAAATTAAAATAAGTGCAAACACAAGCCATTTTACTATTATATACTCTCAACAAACTAGTCCAGAAGAGTCCCCGAACAAAACACAGTAAGGGCGCCATTTCTGTCTATCTGGAATTAGACTGCAGTCCATGTTTTGTTTTTTTTTTTTTTTTGTTTTTGTTTTGTTTTTTTGTTGTTGTTTTTGTTTTTCAAGACAGGGTTTCTCTGTGTAGCTTTGGGCCTATTCTGACTGCTAGTGCTCCCTTTTTCAGTTTGTCTTGATTACTAATAACTAACACTTTGCTTTGAAAATCAATCCTAGCTAGGCATGATGGTGCATGTTATTAATGCCAGTACTCAGAAGGCAGGGCCAGGCAGATCTCTGAGTGTGAGGTCAGCCTGGTCTACATAGGAAATTCTAGGCCAGCCATGGCTACATAGTGAGACCCTGTCTCAAAAAACCAACCAAAGCCCATGGCTGCTGAAGGTAATAAATGATCTGGAGGGTTCTGGCTGAAGTGGAAGGAGGATGGATATTATAATCAGAGCAGATAACATTCTGGAAGCATTTCTCCCTCCTAGTGAGCATGATACATGTATACTTCAGATACATGAAGTACTTGAAAATAAAATATAAATATGTTAGGACTTTTCATTATGGCTTTCATCTTTCCATTAGTTAGAATAAAAAGAACTGTCTGCTGCGCTTTCAGTGGTAGTGGCCCATGTAAAGCCAGGCGTTACCTCCCAGTGTATGAGACCAATTCCAAGGCCAAATAAGCCGTGACACGATGCTGTGCTGCACAGGAGAAATCCCAGCAGTCTGAGGAACTCCGTCACCGTGACACTGAAGGAGGAGTTAGTTCGCTGCAGGCCCAGAGGGCAGCATAGGAACATGGCCACCTTCTTAGGGAAGGGCCACAGGCCCATCTGATGGACAGAAGGGACCCTGGAGAAGATACTTCTCCCTCCTGACTCAAGGGCTATAGGCTTTGCACAGTGGTATCTCAGCCAATGAGGTCTATCTGAGGCATAATTACTGCTAATTAAAAACTCTTAATGGCTGTGGATCAGGGAAGAGGAAAATGGTTACCAAGAGGTTTGGGCTTTTAACGTAGCTTTATCCATAAATATGTACATTTTTGTTTTATTTTGTTTTGTTTTGTTTTGAGAGACAGAGTTTCTCTGTGTAGCCCTGGCTGTCCTGGAACTTACTCTGTAGATCAGGCTGGCCTCAATCTCAGATATCTTCCTGTCTCTGCCTTCCAAGTACTAGGATTAAAAGTACAAGCCACCACACCCAGCCTAAACATGTTTTAAAGTGAGAAATCATACATTGCTGATAGGAGCATAATTTCTTAAAAAGGCTATTTGGCAATATTTGTGGGAGCCCACAAAAGCTTCCTAGTAAGAGCTGAGCTTGCTTTACACAGCAGGGCTGCATTAGGGGATGGCTGGGCCACGTGCATGGTCACCAGGTATCTGGGATGGTCTGCACTTGGCTGGGCGGGCTCCCCACAAATCAGCAAAGACAAACGGCCAATGCCTGGCTCCTTTGGTCTGGCCATTCTCATTCTGGGAAACTATCTTTCAGATGTGCCTTCACTGTGGCCTTGTTTGCAACAGCAAAGGTGTGAAGACAGCATTTCATCGGACAACTGAATCCAGGACAGGGTGGGAGGGGACGGAAACTAAGCACTTAGATATCCACAAGCAACTGGCCATCCTGGCTCCTCTAAGAGGGACATTGGTGGCTGTGAGCCACAGGCTAAGAGGAAGATGCCCATGTTACGTTCCTTTGGTACTCTGTGGATGTCACGTCATCACGATGTATCCATTTTATAATACAGGAAATACATCTTTATTTGAATCTGTTTACTTTTATGTAGTATATATGTGTGTCTGCGAGAGAAACAGTGATCACATACAAGAATGCCACGGTGACATGTAGAGAACAGAGGACACCTTGCAGGAGCCACTATGTAGGCTCTGGGGACTGAACGCAGGTTGTCAGTCTTGGCAGCAAGCTCCTTTACCAACTGAGCCATTCTGCTGGTCCAAAATTGTGGAATAAAGTAAAACATATCAATATAATGAAAAATAATAGAACGGGCATTTTTCTTTTGGTGCTAAGAATTAAACCCAGGAATTCCTGTATCTGCTTTATCGCTGAGTTACATCTTTGTCCTACAGTATATTTAACACTATAGGATATATACTAATATTGTCCTATAATAAAAGAGTTAGCTCAAGTGGTCAACCAGCTTCCTTCCTCTTTAAGCTTAAGTTAATTCATCTATAGGACAAAGTAAAATAAAACATGAGTTGTACAATCAGCTGGGCAGTGGTGGCGCACACCTTTAATCCTAGCACTGGGGGGGGGGGAGGCAGGAGGATATGAGTTCAAGTCCAGCCTGGTCTACAGAAGTGAGTCCCAGGATAGCCAGAACTACACAGAGAAACCCTGTCTTAAAAACAAACAAACAAAAATATGTACAACCTTCTTATTCCCTCTTGATCCTTGAACTAATGAAGAATCTAAAACTGGGCTTTCCCAAGCAAGGCTTCAGGGGCTGTGACATGACTTTGTTTGGTCCTAAAACACAAAGGCTAAATGGACTGCAAATGCAGGAACACATTACAGTGTAGCAGGGCAGAGTGAGGGCAGTCTGGCCGAGGAGGCACACTGTCTGGGAGTGGAAAAGCAAGCTGTTACTGAGGGAAGCTGTTGGCCAGCACAGTAAAACATCACTGAACCGTTCCCCACCAACCCGCACCTACATGTGTCCCATTACCTCTGCAGGGCCCTTCCCAGCTATTGACAATTCAGTGCCGAGACCTCACGTGCAGCCTTTGGTAACACAGGCTGGTATATCAACCAAGTGGCCAGAAGGGGCCGCTGTTGCACAGGTCTTGGGAGAAGCAAGCATCAGAAATTCTTTAACCAAATAAACCACACCCCGATCTGGCAACCCGTCTCAGATTACTAAGAGCAACCTCCGGTCACCCTCTGGGTTATAAATAAGGTGGCTGCATTACTCTGCTAAGAAAGCTAAACCAGGCTTCAATTCCCTGTCTACCGAGACACCCTGTCAAACATCAGTCTTCCATGGAACCCCTGCTTTTCTCCACGGCTCCTTTCTTTCTCGGTTAAACACACTGCTGGCTGCATTGTCTCCCAATAGGTGCCCGAAGGTGAGCGGACCTGTTCTATCCTAACTACCTCTGACTACAGACTTCTGTCCTGGATTACACAGCCTCCCTGCTAAGCTCTCTTAAGTGGACTAGTGAACCCCACCCCACCCCCCCACCCCCCCTGGGAGAGGGCCAGGAGGAAACACGTCTGTGGCAGGTTGATTAGAACCCCTAGCTGGTACCAGAGGCTTCCTTTCCTGTCTCACTCCTTGTCCTGCAGACACAAATATACCCGTATCTAAGACTAGACGAGAGTTAGCAAGAGAAGAGCAAGAAGTCAAACCAGTTGGCCAGCTTCACAGGAGAACTTGCCACTGTTTCTCACACCCCAAAGCTAGGTGAGAGGCCTCCGAGGGTAAGAGTACTTGCTGCTCTCTCTGAAGACCGAAGTTCGGTTCCTAGCACCTCTGTGGCAACTTGAAACCACCTGCAACTCCAGATCTCAGGGATCCCATGCCCTCTTCCGGCCTTCTCTGACACCAGACATTTACATGGCAGACATACATACATGTAGGCAAGACACTCATCCACATAAAAATAAAAATAAATTAATAAAAAATAAGATGCAGTGATTTCATCCAAAGCCTCCGTTGCGTAGCGCCAGTGCCCATAAAGAGCAACGGACTGGACAGGACCAAGGCGAGCAGACCTGGGTCTGGGTTCCACCTGCAGCACTGGCCGCCTCTCACTGGAGGCCGGCCTCGCTGCTGAGTTTCTAATGACTGACTGCTTCTTAATGTCCCCATACATACAATAAAGAAGACAATCTCAAGCACAATTTAGAAATCATACTCTAGCTAGGTGGTGCTGGCACATGTCTTTAATCCCAGCATGCCACAGATGGAGACAGGGATCCCTGTGAGTGCAAGGCCAGCCTCCTCTACAGAGTGAGTTCCAGAACAGACAGGGCTACACAGAGAAAACCTGTCTCAAAAAAATTGGTTTTCTAAAAAAAAAAAAATTGTTTTTAAATAATTAAGATCATCAGTGTTTATTTATTATAAGATTCAAAACCTGGAAATACTAGAACACATTTTCTTTTCTTTTCTGTTAGCTCTAAACACTGACCTCAAGGTCTCAGGCATGTTAAGCCCATGTTCTTCCTCTGTGCTACACTCTCTGCACACTACTACATATAAGTTCAGTTTTTTAATGTACCACAATGATATGTGGATACTATAACAAACTGGGAAACTGTGAACAGACCTGAGCAAGGGATGAATTCTGAATGTGTGTCATCATGTAATGCATAAAAAGTTGTGGACTGCAACAGGTTCTACTGCCATGTGTGAATGTGAAACAGAAACCGTCTGCTGGCATTCTGAAATTTGACCTCCAGGCTAGCGAGATGATGGCGCAGTGGATAAAGGCACTTGCCTGCTTGTTTGAGTTCAGTTCCCAAGACTTACGGTAGAAGGAGAAAACCAGCTGCCAAACGTTGTCCCTGATCTCAACATGTATACTGTTGATTGCATACCATATACATACACACAAAATAAGTAGATAAATGTAATTCTAAAAGTTTGAGGCTACATAGTGAAAATCTGTCCCAATAAATACATAAACAAATTAATTAAGTTCACTTCATGAATCAGAAAGGTTGTGGTCAACATGAGCCATATCTAAATATTTTTTGCAGAAAAAAAATATTCTCAAGAACTGGATTTTTGTTGTTGTTTTAGGAATCCAGGAATAATAATAATTTACACAGCCAGAGTACAGACAAGGGGTCCTGGGGTCCCCTAGTAACCATGACATTCATTGTCCAGCACTGTTTGTAGTCCTGTTTCACGGCTCTTTTACTAGGAAAACAAACATAAACACATTAAGTGATCACAGTGCACACCTTTAATCCCGCACTCGGGATCTCTGTGAGTCAGAGTCCAGCCTGGTCTACAGAGGGAGTTAGTTCCAGGACAGTCAGGGCTACATGAGACTCTGTCTAAAACAAACAACCAAACAAAAAACAGAAGCAATCACATCCAGGAGAGGTGGTGCCTTTATCCCAGTGCTGGGGTAGGGGTGGAGGGGCAGAGGCAGATGGTCTCTGTGAGTATACAGTGCTGGGGTAGGTAGGGGTGGAGGGGCAGAGGCAGATGGTCTCTGTGAG